ACACTCACACACACACACACACACACACACACACACACACAAATGTCACTCTTACATGGCACTAAAATCCTGTCCCCTTTTGATGAGTGCTGCCATTTTGTAATTGTGGTGATGCTAAGTTTTGAGCATTCTGTTAATGTGGACACGATTAATGACAACAATGTACAATGGCGGTTGTCGATACCGAATGTGTCTCCTCAAACCTCTGCACCTGCAGAAATGTATCTTCAATCCCTGTTCTGTCACAGGCAATGCAACAGTTGAGCCCTTTAAGTCGTTTGCAACGGTAGCCACACAATATTATGGCGTCTTCATACCTCAGATCCAGATCAAACTCAGTAAAGAATGAAATGAGTGATGAGGAATTCATTGGAGCCAAACACAGTTACATCCCTAAAAGTGAATGTACGAAATGATGGCGAGATGGCTGGGGACTCACAATTAAAGATGGCGCCTAGGTCTGCATCAACTCAACCAACTGTGGCTCCTTTATGTTTTTATCTCTGTTATTATCAAAAACGTGTCCATATTAAGTCCCATTTGAGATTCAGTTTTCAAATATTGGTGTTTTTAGGCTCCAAAAAACACTCTTGACCAGCCAAAATGACAAACGTGTAAAAGACTGCAGTTCCGCCCATTCTGTCTAACATCACGTTTCTTCATAACAGTCCGCAATATTTTTTATCACACCCCCCCACCCTCCGGCTTTCACTTAACATATATTGGAAGCATTGTTTATTGTTACAAACAATATTATTATATGGTCAGGGATTATTTTACACCATTTCAATGTGTTTGCAGTGCCGTTTGGACTGTATATTTTTTCAAAGCTTCAATCTTATATATGATTATGACAATAGTAAATAAACGAACGGGTGGATGCATTTTTAGGGCCACATGTGCAGCGAAGACACCCACCTTGGCTTCAGATTCCCTGATGAGTCTCTGAGCCTCTTTGAGCTTGTCACTTTCATTAGTTAACTGCAGATGCCAAACACACATACACATACACTCAGGAATACACACACGCAGAAGTCACAGCACAAATATGAGGGAGCAAACAGAGGCACACACATGGGAAGGAGGGTTAGCGAGACAGAAAAGACTCATGCTACACACTGTATGACACATACGATACACCGAGCCGACAAGCATTAAAGTTGCGAGCGGGGTCAAAGAGAACACGGCTTAAACAGTGCCAGTACATCACGCTTCCTTTGTTTCCCCTCAATGAGCTTGTTTGATGTGCGAGAGACACACTGTGGTGTATCTTTATGGTTCAAAAAAGGAAAAAAAAAAGACGTAATACATCATGTCATTTACAGTACCTTCAGAGGAAAATCACCATGAAAAAAGCATCCATGGGTGCTCCTTTCCTTCAACACACTTCTTCCATTTGCTTTTTTGTTCTCTTAGTGCCTTTTTGAAATACATTTCAATGTTCTTAGATGTGTGACAGTCATTTTTGTATGTGAATTATTTTGTTTGAAGATGTACCCCTGGGACCATGTGTTGTTTAAGAACACCGGTGCCGTGGTCCATGGATGTGTCGATCATATCTTTATTGATCGTGTTACAAATAAACACCAGCAAACTATTTATATTCTTCTTCCACTTTGATGCATGGCTTCATTACCTTTTGGACTGGTCTCCTGTTTTTAACTCTACCTGCCCCGGAACCTGCTCCCTCGTTCTTTCTGTCCCTGACTTAAGACTTCCATCCACCTTACTGCTACTTAATGTTTGCCTGTCCCCTTGGCTGTTTGATGTTGTGGTGCCAGTGGAGTATGGAACAGTACATGTCCAGGCCCTACTTCCCGAGTCAACGGAGACTCTTGGTCTACATTTGTATTTGAACTGTATTACTATTTGACTGTTTATCAACTGGGGATATTCAAAGTAGATATCAACGACTACTGTGGTCTGGTGCACTGCGTTTGGGTGAAGTCAGTCACAGTGTCTGTCTGGTGTTATGTATAAACCAGTGGTCTGAAAACAACTCATTTTAGCACAACAGGATGAGAGAAGCTGACAATGAAACTCCACACCCTGTCCCATCAAAATAACTAGTGACGTACAACTTCTAATTCTTTCTTTATTTATCCATCAATCCTCTCCCCATAAGTGCTATGCCACCTCTGTTACGGCTCTCACGCTCTCACACTACGCTCTTCACATTCCCAGTCAGTGTTGTTCATCTAAAACATTGAATTAAGGCAAATACATCCTGGTTTATAAAAGGCAGTGTGTGTGTGTGGGGGGGGGGGGCATGAGAATTATATCTACAGTAACAGAGACACAGGATATTTCTGCAAAAGACTGTTTGGATCTAAATATTTTATGAGCTTTAATTACCCTGGAGAACCCACAGGGTCAAATTTGGCCCCTATAAATTCTGCTACTCAAATGCTACCCTTAAATCCCAAAGGGTCACATTTGGCCCTAATCCTAAATTAGGATTAAAGCATTGAATATTTGAAAAAAACATATTTTGGTGTTCAGTGAACATATAGCAGTCATTTAATGTATAATTCATCATTTTCCAAAGAAGAAAAGGGTTCTTGGGTTCTCCAGAGTTAAATTCTAGTTGGACAACCAAAAACTAATAAACAATTTTAACTAAGCAAGGTTACACCATGCTTGGTAAAGGCTACTACTTGAATGCAAGAGATGCATGTTTTAGAGATGACACCTTCCATATTTTATTCAAGTGATGTTTTGCTTGATCACTCTGTTTATTTGGACTGCATTATGAAAGTGTTCAAACAAACAAACAAAAAAAAAAAAAGTTAAATTCTAGCCTGAGTGGCGATGGGCTCGACCCTGTGTAGACCGCCCGCTCTTCCCGGGGGCCGATTGAGGTCAGCTACAAGTCTGTCAGCTTGTTAAAAGCTATTAATGGGATGGCGCAGAGTTCCGCTGCGTACCTCCGCACTGCTACATTATTCATTACATCTCCAGCCCGACTGCAGTGAATGGCTTCCTTCTGCTACGCTACGGCTTGGGAAAGGGCAGATGATTCCCCACTTGTTGTGATTCCCATGTCCCTTTGTTGATGTTTGCGGGCGGAGGCACTACTCCACTCAATTGCGGGACAATCAAAAAGGCACATCAGACAGGCTGCTTGTTACAATGCCAAAATTTGTCTGGTAGACCGACGTTCATTAAATGTGCCTGGTTGTGGCAAACAAGGTGAGCAGATACGACACAAGTTTGAGTGTCTGACAGGCTGTCTCTTCAGATGAAAGGTTAGGATTCGCATCCATTTCATTCTTAAAAAAATAATGACCCAAAAAAAAAAAAAAAAAACATGCCTGTGATGGCAGGCCTTCCTAATGCTAATACACTCGTCTTCCATCATCCAACAGGCTTTTGTACAGAAAAGGGCCAGCTCGTGCGCTCCATCCTCTACCCCAAGCCCACCAACTTCAAACTGCACCGTGACGCCACACAGTTCCTCATGTGCATGGTGGTGTTGGCAGTGCTCGGGTTCTTCTACGCCATCGTTGTCGACGTCATATTGGGGGTATCGCTTCTCAAATTGATCAGCTACACACTTGACACCAGGATGCGACATGTCATTCCGGGTGGCGGAAGACTTAGCGTTCAACAAAGCCTTCTTGTCATTCGGCCGAGGTGGAGTGATTGCGAAAACGGGGCATTGAGCCTCACATGCCTGTGATGGCAGGATGGCTTTGATGGAAAGAGCCGAACGCGGGATTTAAATGGCCTGCGCTTGCAACGTTAATGACTTTAGCGGCGCGCTGTCGAACGTGGATGAAGGGAGCAAAACACACTCGCAATCATCAGAGAGCTTGTTGTTGCTGAGATGGGATTGGAGCAGTTCACGTGGCTAACTCACAGCAGATCAAAAACGGCGATTGGTTGGCTGTTACTCCCGTTGCATCATTAAACGACACGTACAAACGAACACGGACATTTACGCGCCTTGGGGAAACTTTCCGGGGCTTTGTCAGCTGGTGCTCCTTGCGGCGGAGATGTTGCCGGCGTCAACTATTTCGAGTCGCTAAATTCAGTTTAAATTCATCTCTCCTTTTATTATTTATAATTTTATCTGTGGTTTTATTGTTCTTGTTTTGATTGTAAAGTGTCCTTGAGTGTTTTGAAAGGCGCTTATAAAAAAATGTATTCTTATATTATTATTATTTGATTTCATTGTTTGTGTGTATGGAGATGATACACACATTCCCCCGTGTATGCGGATTTGTAACAGTAAGGATTAAATGAACATAAGGGTATATTTTTAATAGCTTTACAGTTAAGTGGGACTTGTTCACGATCAATTGCACATTTCTATACAAAGAGTTGAAAAGATGAATTCCTGTTTTTGGATTATTATTTTGGTTTAAATTTAGGTGTGCTATCGCGTATACACTGTGCAAAGGGCTTGACCCCCCGTCCCCCCCTCCAAAGTGCCACAAGAATTAATTGCAAAACTGAAGATAGAATGACATACTGGGGGTTTAATTTCAGTAGTTGCGAATGTAAAACTCTCAAGATGTAACTTTTTTCTTTTTTTTTTTCTGAGGGATCAGTCATACAAAAGAGTAAGAATGAGTTTGACTACTTGTTAATGCACCTGCAATGTAAATGGTGTCTATGATAACGCTTGCTTGCCATTTAAGATTGACAGTGCTGCGTGCATATATGGAGTAAAGTAAGTGTTGTCTGTTGGGTATTAATTGCCCCCCTCACACATTTCATGTGCCCCCCTTAAAGCTGGGCTCTGGTGATGGGTTGGCCTCTGCTGTTATCCTCATACGTCATGCATGGACACTTTTTTTTTTTTCTGGGGGGGACAGACTGGTGAAATGCAAGGACGAAAGCGCTTTAATAAGACGAGGACGGACGGGGACAGAGGACAATTATTACAAGACAATAAGGATAGAGGGACGATGACGATATGGGTGCCCAGGTCACGGATGTAGAACGGACCAGCAAAATAGGGTAAAGTGGCCATCTCTGGTAATCAGGAAGTGAGATAGTGACGAGCCAGTTTGAGTATGACGGTGCCGTTGGTGTTGCGGCTATGCTTTCATCTTCCAATATTGGCTTACATTAAATTCGTTTACCGCTATTTCCACTCAAGAAACTGCTAAAATGTTTGCAATTGGGTTAAAATGGGAAAGTAGTTTTGTGCGCTCAAGAAATGTTTTCAAAGGCAGTAAAAAAAAGAAATGGAATCCACTTCCAAGACAATAAAATTACACTGGAAAAGCTTCAATGCCGACACTCAGCCACATTAAGAGCTCCAACTTAAGGAGATTGACCCTTTATTAAATCAAATGTTCTCACATCCGCTTCGACAACATCCGTGAGAGGTGCGAAAAGCTCTCCATCTGGGTGAAACGTTCAGTCCAGAAATAACCGCAGGTTGTTTTTTTTTTGTGGATGTACCTTACACTCCAGGGCCTGGATCTTCACCTCCAACTCTTTGATTCTCTCCTCTTTCTTTTGAGACTCAGCCTGCGCCTCCTGCCGTGCGCCGAACTCCTCGTCAAACTGCAAGAAAGAGAACACAAATATGTCAAGGTGTGCATACTGATGAAAACAAGGCAGCGGAGGTTGGCGAGCGGCAGGGCGTCTCTGGAGAGCGGCCTCGGGGCACATCAACAGACGCCCGAAACCACGGCGCTCTATTTGCGGTCTTCATCACCCGGGAGTCCTGTTGTCCTTTATCTTTGTTTCAGGCCTGGATTTCATACATGTTGATAGATTTAACCTTTGCACAAAACCAAGACATGTCAGCGCAATGACTTCACAGAACCAGCGGGGCGCATGCACCGGGCTGGTAAGGTGCTATGGCGAAGAAAAAAAAAGAACTAAGGAAACAGCCGGAGGCTCCTCTGCGTCACAAAGGTGAGCTTTAAAAATACATTCTAATTGTATGCATTAACTTTTGACCTCACTTAGCATCAATTCATATAACAGGAAAGGATAAAGAGAAAAAAAAAGTTTGGCCATATGTATTAAATGTGGGGCAAATTGTATGATTTTCATAATGTGTGATGGCATTGCATCTCACTTGAAATCCTTTCAGTCGGCATCAAATGGTCAACTCTGCATCTGCCACTTTTGAAACACGGTGATGAAAGAAAAAGGCATCCATCAGGAAAAAAATGGGCTCAATTAAAGGACAAAATACTTTTTACGTTACTAATTTATTGTTTTAACTGTCCAAGTTTTACGTTGTGTACATCACTTTGTATGCAGCTATGGCTTCAAGTGCTTTATAAACAAAGCTGAGGAGAGCTGTAAACATAATTGATCTCCAAGGAACATCCTTTTTTTTTTTTTGTATTGAAATTACAACAACTTGGAAGTCGACCAACGTACCGAAACATATTGCATTCGATTTTCACTGTACGAGCAATGAAATGCACATTAAGGAGCCCTCTCTCTCGGAGCAAAGACGCATCAAAACACCTGCGCTAAACTTAAATGCAGCCCAACACTGTGCACAAATCAGAACCTCGCTATTGATTCTTGTAATGCTGATACGGATCATGTAGCGTCGCAGCGAGGTATTGATTAAAGCATGGAAAATCGATAGCTTGTCTGGAAGCAGTGCGGAAGAAAAGACTTTCCTGATAGGACTCGGCCAAGCAAGGGGCCTGTTGAAGTGATTAATGCCTCACCTTTTTGGAGTACTCGGCAGCTTTCTGCTCGCTCTCTTCAACTTTGGATTTGTCTACACACTGATCTGCAAGACAGCATCACACACGCATCAATACATTAGACGCACCTTCCCGTGCATTATTACTTTTTTTTCCCTTGCCTCTGCCAAAGAAGCTTTTTTGTTTTGTTTTGTCTTTGACGTTTATTTGTTTCTGAGAAAGAACAAGCAAATAGTCCTTCATTCATCTCGAAGCTTGGTTTGACTAGTTTGTGGACTTAGATGACAGAATGAGCCCCCTTTGGAAACACAATGTATCCCACTAGTCATCTACATTATTCACTTATGCTGTGAATTAAGTTTAACTACTGTATTAGTTTTATTGTAAAGTAATGACAAACAGACAGACAGACAGACAGAGAGAAAGAGAGAGACATCTCTCCCGCATGTGTGATTTTGCCAGCGTGCGTGGTTTCACATGAGCAACATTAATTATCACCAGACTGTTTGAGAGCATATGAGTGTGTGTAGGTGTGTGTAAGTGTGTGCATGTGTGTGAGCGTGTGTGTGCGTCTGCAAGGACGGGTATCGGAATTGAAATATTGCACAATTTGTGTTGTCGGCCATTTACTCACTTGAAGAACAAATTCTCATTAAATTGCATATCCTTTTGGGAAATAGTTTTGGGAAGTAGAAACCCCCTGATGTGAAAAAGACATTTATTTATTTATTTATTTATTTATAAAGCAGTACAAAGATAGAAGAGACAGTGTTCCATATGTCTTTTTGTGCCGCAAAGTGAGCAAGGATGTTTATCTAGAATGTTGAACTTTTAATGTTTCTTTGTGGCAAATTCAGAATTGTTAAGGAATAATATAGAAACAAAATAAAGTAACAATTTACATCACTGACTCTCTGCCCAAATGGGAAGCTGAAATATATTTTGATATGTTGGAATGTAATCCTCTAGTTTGACAAAAGAAATTGTATTGAAAGATTAAAGAGCCATTTCAATGATTTTTTTTTCTAAATCATTAATATAGCTGCCATATTTTAAGATAAAAGACTCGTTGTAGCATAATCTCGAGACATCGTAAACAACAGCAGCATTCTGGACCATACATTTGAGAAAAGAGAATGTCCGTTACAAGAAAGCAAGTTCTGAACTAAACTGTTTGTGCTGTGTTCTTGTCACTTTCTTAAATCAATTTCAGCTAAAAGCATAATTGACCCATTTAAATGAAAACAAACGTTTTCTGAATCTGAATGCAACATGCAAAAATTCGCAATTTGGCCAGACTGTGAATACATTCTTGGTTGAAGCGTGCAGAATTGAAACCTGTGCATTCCACAACAATGCAATTCTAATTTCTAATGACTTCAACTGAATTGTGACAATGTCATCACTTATATAACTGTATATGTGGACTTGTGTGGATGGGTTGCATTTTCTTTCTTTTGGCATCAAGCCAACTTGATTCACAGCCCCTCCCCTCACTCGTGCTGGAGTCCATGCAGGAGGTCGACGCATGCAAAGTACGTTTGCAAGGAACCGCAAGATCTCCACTTGCAGTGGATGTAAAGCTGTACGCTGCAAAGTATGCACTTTCAGACAAAATCATGCATCTGTGTGGGATAGAGCTCAAATGTTTAGAATTTTACAATTATATATCTTTTTTTTTCCAGTTCATATCTCACTGCGCAAGGCCCCATCCCCTGACTCATTTATCCAACCACAGTTAAACAGTCACTCATCCGGAAACATTCATGACCTTGAAGACGGTGATGTCACACAACTACAGGGTCGCCACTCGCTCTAGTTTATAACCATAGTAGTTAGATTAAAAAAGGAATTGAATGGTTGTTTGTCGACGTACTAAGGGAAACATTCCCGGTTTACCCCCCTACCAAGGAGGAAAGGTTACCAATCAAATGGGTGAAGTCCACATCCAGTCGGCGACTGTAGCCAAAGTCGGGGTCCATCCCGCTTCGATGCAGCACCACCTGAGAGACGCATTCTTCGATCACCTTGTAGTACTGAGGCCTGGCGGGTCACAAAGCATAAAGCAGAACAATTACGGGGGATATGATAGACACAAACTCGACACGACTAATTAAGTGTAAATTAGTCCCTCATCTGAAGGAGAGGTCACAAAATGCCAAGTCGGGGGGAAAAAAAAATTGCCAAGTGCCTTGTTAAATTTGATCACTTGTTTCACTCCTGTCATGAAATGAGCAGATAATAGGCACACTGTGGCCGATGGTCGGCTTGTGTGTCCATTTCAAGGTGACAGCAAGCCCTCTCGCGTAATTTGCAATCATCTTTGCCAATTAGAGCAACCATAAAAAAAGATATGTAAATCTAATCAGCGTAATGTGCGTAATTGAAAGCACAATGACCAGGAAAACATGTCAGCTAGTTAGAAGTTAGCAGGGTTATACAGCTGCCTGATTGTGTGTGTGTGTGTGTGTGAGAGACGCCGGAACGGCCCGGCAAACGTGACCTTTTTGGCGGTGAAACTATCAACTTTAATTGCTTGTGACATTTAGCAAATAGATTGCCATTTAAGATGAGTTCCTAACTGAGAAATAATTATTCTCTAAACTCGACTTTGACCCCCCCAGTTCATTTTAGGGGGATCTACCTATCTCGGAATTATGAAAGCTGTATGGAACGTTGCATGTGGATATATAAACTAATTAGGATAGCTTTTACAGTTGAGACTTGAAAACATACAAGCTTTTATTGATGTGACAAAGATGCTATGAGTCATATTTTGTAAATTCGGTATACACAGTATATCAAAAAAATAGCTTTGCTAATATATTTCTTATGATTTCCACTAATATAATTGTGTCCATGCATGATTTTAAAAAATGCATCGATAAAATATAATCAATTCAATTTTTGGGAGCTTTATATATTTAGCTTTTTTTTTTAATCACAAGTTTTTGTAATTATATTAATTTCTAAAGTCCTATCAAAATATGTGATTATTTGAAAGAACTTTCAGTAGGATACTCAAATAGTAAAATGAATGGCCGCATGCCTCCAACTCCGCCATTATATTGTCATAGTTTTATTATTTAATCAAAGTCTGACTTCAGGTTGCTTGATTAAGCTGCAAAAAAATGTTCCAAAACAGTACAATGTTGCTCCTCAAATAGTCATTGATCAGCAAAAATGCGCCTCGAAGTTATTGCGAGCCTCTCATGTGTACTTATACTAATTATTTATACGACGGCTCGTGGCATAAACACGTGTTTGAAAGCAATTCTCAAAACCAAGCGGAGTCCCTGCAAGATGTCGGCTGTAAAGAATGAGCTGTTTATGCGTGGGAGGAGGAATCACCTTTGTGTCCACAAACTTGTGAGGGTGTAACTGTCTGAGCCAAAGTAAAAGAGAAATGAAAAGAAACATTAAGGTGCTCTTCTTTAAAATAAATAAATAATCCGTTTCGAAAAGAGGCCCGGAATGCCATTCTGTAAAGCTTGAGCTGGCAGCTTCGCCCACTCGTGATTGGATGAAGCTCGCCAGCGTCGCCTTGCTTGGCTTAAGCGCTGTGCCGCTCAGCTTACAACTGTCACCCGCGTACCCGCTGTTATTATCTCAATAAGCCGCCCTATTTTCCCGCCGCCCTCCATCCTCCGCCGCCGCCAAGCGGCCACAGTGACGGCAAGAGTGACCCAGAACTGTCAGGTCTCTGCACGGTGGGCAGGGCAGGGTTCCAAAAAAGCGAGCATATGTCCCGCTGCATCACTCCCCACCTCTTCCTTTTTTTGACTCTGGCACCTCCAGTTCTTCCAGTCACTGCCGAGCGCCATCTCAGCCACTTGATCCAGCTCTCCTCCACACAGCCAATGTAATCCCCATATCGGCGTGCTCCAAAAGAGCACATCTGCTCGATATTTACAGGGCGGGTTTGATGTGCTCCCATTCATTAGGCTTGCACTGAGAGATTAATTATCAAAAATAAACTGAACCCCCGAGGGAAGAGTAACAACTCACAGCAATGACAGTCGACACGGCACTTCGATGCTTTCGGCCCCATTTAGAATGTTCCCAAATACATATACAGTACCGCTGTTTACATTCAAACTGCTTTTACGCAAAGAGTACCAACTGTAATCGGAACTCTTCCCCAAACAATCACTCTTCAATATACGGTATACAAGCCACACCTCTAATAGGCTCCTTCTGTTTTCTCCCTTCCAAAACATCACAAAATATCATTGACCCGGGTGTTTAGACTATCGACAGTCAATACCGGAACACTCACCACTCCCTGCTAAGAGACATGAGATCTGTAAATCTGACTTTGACAGCAACGTGACGTTTAATGATAAGGAGACGTTGGCAGGACGAACATGAGCACAAGCCATGAAAATCTTGGAATATTTACATATCCGCATGAAAATATTATTAAAAACAAGAAGTGAATATTACTTATAAAGTTCTGTTAATTAAATAAACACAGGGCATAAAGTACAGAGATGGAAGTAGTAGTGTATATTATCATCATCATTAATATAGAGGCCTGCCTGCCCACCTCTCTCATGTGGATTCAGCACCATAGTTGCTCAAAGGCCAATAAATGCCTCACGTGTAACAGATCCTTGTTACTCTCTGCAGTTGTGGAAATAAACTTGTGCAAGCACTTTATGAGGGAATCCAGCATATATACCCGACACGAGAAGGTGCCGATATTAATCGACAACTCGTTGATTCTCAAATGAATCGACAACTATTGTCAAAATGGAGTAATCGTTTCGAGACATCATTTAACTTGTAAACATATTCACCAAATATCTGATTTCAACCCCGCATCAACAATTATTCTCCGATTAATGTCGTCCTCCATCAAAGCAGACTGATTTATCTTTTGTGTTTATTCAAAATAAGACATTTGCAAACATCTGCTTTTACTTCAAAACAATGACTGAACCTGTCACTGGTTTCAAAAAGAATGGTGGTCAGCTTTTTTAACACACTAATGCAAAATAAAATGTGATGTGAATATTCCATTCATTAATGGCATCATCGAGAGAAGAATCAAGTCTAAAAATAGTGACAGCCCAAATCAACTCGCCTTAAAATCACTTGTAAAAACGATTTCAATTTAGAGTACTGCTCTGACTCTGAAAGAAGCTCACTGTTACAAACGACTTCTTATTGCTGACTTGGAGAGCGGTACACGACCACTGAAGCCGAGGTGGAAGTGGCTGGAGCTTTTTAATGCGAGTCCCTTCCCCTCGCTTCCTCCTTATAGATGAACAATGCATTATTTATAACTCCTAGGGTAGAGCAACGTGTCTATGATGAATTCATCTCTCTCCTCTCATCATTCCCTCACTTTCCGACATTCTTTTTACAAGTCTGCTCTCTGCAAAAAAAAAAAAAAGCCTGACGCAGCAGTGAATTCATCAGTGTCACTCCATCCGGCCCAGTGACTGACACATTTTCTCTCGAAAGGTGAAAGTTGAAAAACTAACACTTTTAGCAGCATTTAAGAATGTCATGTTGTTAAAGACCCATCAGAGCACGTTTTTTTTTTTTTTTTTTTTTTTTTTTTAAATAGAGCAATCACACCCAGGTCTGTTGCCATAATCGTCACATGTGGCATTCTATATTCCGGTGCAGTGCAGCCAGCATGGCTCCAGACAATAGCGGAGTATCCAGAAAATAGGCGGTGTGACATGGAGCCATAGATTCTGATTAGCATCAATCCAAATGATCGAACGGAATGAAAATGCCCCATATGAACATCTCAAGGCCAGCACGAACCTGATTGGCGCTCTCTGATCTGGCGCATAGATCTTGTGTCGCGTAGAGTGACGTTGCAGACAGTCAAATGTAATCGATGCGTGTGGAGCTGTTCAGACTGAGACCCATCCTGTCCGAAGGCGATATAAAACTACCTCTCGACTGTGGCTTCAATCCGCCTCGCAACAATCAGATTTCATGTGCTTTGTGACTGTTCATACTACAAAAGAGCCATCTGGTTTCAATCTGGATGGGCTAAAAATTTGATTTTGGCTGGCCGTCTGAAAAACGGCCTTAAGTGAACGTTGAATCGAGCAATTGACTGAGGCATGCCACCAACTGGAGTGCAAGTGTCAACTTGAGAAAGTTCTCTACCTTAGCAGCGGTGAGGCGTGCACCATTTTAGGTTTGAGGAATTTCTGTAAATCTTATTATACTTTGCAAAGTAATTCCTGAGAGAGGTATCATGTCAGTGACCAGCTTACCTGACGTAGTAGTCGTTCCGGATGAGAAGCAGGTGCTGCAGGATGGACAGGAAGTAGGCCTCAGAGCCCGTGTCTTTCACCATGTTGGATAAGAGATGATACACCTCATTCATGTCAGTAGAGGGGGCGAAGTTAAAGGAAACAATCGGGCAACTATAATCAGCCTCAATTCACGTATTCCTAACACCTTCTTTCTCAACACCATTCAAATACACAGCTTGATGCATTCTTGTTTTCTTTTCACACCTCCGCTTCCTGACAGGCATCATGGGGCGAAAGCAAACACAGATGTGATTCTTCTTATCAGCTTTCTCTGGGGAGCTGAAAACCATGATAAGCGCTAACTTAAAGGAGAGAAGGAAGTATGGAAATAAAGGAATACAATAACTCCCTCTGGTTTACCTGTCACTCTGATGCTTTCAAAGTAGGAAAAAATTAATTAGATGACGAAAAACTTTGAACATTGCAGGCGAGGACAACGGGGAGAGGGGCTCGTTTGCAGAACAACAATTATGCTGAGAGTCACTTTTGTGATTGAAACTGGCATTCACTGCACGGCAAAGGGAAGAGAGAGAGAAAAAAAAAGAAAAGAGAAAAGCAGGTTATTAAATTTGCAGAAGGTATTGATTATGTGTCTTCTGTCAGCCTGCCCCAGAAGGGAGCACTGACAGCTCCGACATCTAAAGCACATCCTTCACATGTCTCAATCTGCAATGCCCTTCATTCTTCAATCACTCTCCGTGTACGACTCTTACATGTTCACCTCTTTGTACTGAATTCATGGGTTTAATAATTACATATAAACACTAGTCAATATTTGATTTGTGCTCATAAAAATTTCAATATTCTTTAGGAACTTAAAGAGCGCTACCGAATACGACGCCAGCGCGATCTAGTTGTTTATGCATGAAAAAAAAAAAAAAAGGATTTCCCCATGGAACTTCATTCTGTTTGAAAAAAAAAGCACAATAAGCTTCTCAAACCTGTCTTATAAATGTGCACACAGACAACAAGATGATAATCTGCCATCTCAATATGAAGTACACCTCCTAAAATGTTTCCATTGAAGCAAAAGTGATGAAATAACGTTTTATGACATGTAGCGCCACATGATAGCACTCTTGCATCTGCTTTAGGAGAAGGAAAATAGCTCTAAAATGACACCATACGTTGAAACTACTTGCTACGGGGCAAATACAGTGCCTGTTGTCGCAAGTATTTTCAAAGTAATTGTATTTTTCTCGAATTTTTCCTATAATTGTTTTATTAATTAGTTATTGCAAATTGAACCCGCTCACCCTCATATACTTATAATGGCAAAATAAAGTAAACTCTGCATAAACTATTTATGAAGAACTGCAGTGAAATGCTTGAGGTTGTACAATGTTGAATTCAACCAACCAAAGGGAGGTATATGTAACTGACGTGTGGCATTTATTTATTAAAGCAGATGACTATGATTTGAGGCAGGGCATCGATTAGGAATATTTTGAGGAAGAGCAGTACCTTAGCAGAGGTCAATAACATTGGAAGGTTTCTATTTGAGGTGAGGCATTCATTGATTGAAGTGCATGCCAATTCAACCATTTAATGAGGCACAGTGTTTATTCGAGTAGAGGCTAATACTTGAGGAAAACAGGCACCTGATTAGAGGTGACCGCAAAGTGGAGGTGTCTATTTTACATGAGCAGTTTATTCATTCAAATGGATGAGGAGCCAGGTATTTAACATGGATAAAGCAACTATTTGAGTGGAGGCCAGTATATGAGAAAGTACATTACCTAAACATTGGTCACACAATGAAAAGGAGATATTGATCCAGGTGATTAACTGAGGTATGGCGTCTATTAGTGTCAAGGCCACCATTTTAGGAACAGCAGTATCTTAGCAAAAGGTGTCGATTTGAAGTGAGGCACTTAAAGATAAAAGCTATTTTTTCTGTAAATAAAATTCAAGTTCCAAAAAAAACAAAACTGAATAGCATGGTAAAGATTACACTTCTATTTTTATTTATTTAAATCAGAGATGAGGATGAACTTCTTTAGATTATATTTTTTGCGTTGATTCCGAATATGCCCTCTTTTTCTCTCGCACATCAATTTTTCATAACATGGCTGTCCTATGAAAAACATGCACGTTCATTCAAAAAAAAAAAAAATCCGTGTTTCGGACACCCCATTAACGTAATAGAAAAAAAATGGACATACGTGTTTTTCACAGGACAGTGATGGTAATTTAAAAAAAACATATTTAATAGAGCAATACATTTAATAATGTTAATGGAATAAGGGTTAGGTTGAGCAATGGCATCTGTATTGCGCAAGTTATTACAGGTCAAATTTAAACATGAAAAAAATTAAATAAATGTGCTAGAAAAAAAAATAGGTACAGACTTTTTTTTTTTTTTTTTTTTTTTAAACCAGTGTCAAAAATACATTTCGTAAAACAAAAATGCAATCTTATCAATGGGCAGTTATGTGTGTTTTGGGGTTGTTTACTCGGATTATTTGGCCAAATTTATCACCGTTTTCGGGAACATGACCATTTAAGGAAAAATCACAACTTACTTCCTGTATTCACACCCGTTATGTTGGATCTGGTACTTGACACCTAGTTGTTCTTATATATTTCCACCGCATCTTGAATTGAAACAATTTTTGTCGAGAGGCAGTGGTGGGAATAGAGGACCCTCTCAAGTACATATTTCCTAGCTCGTATTAGCTGAGCATGAAACCTGGGAGAATTACCAGTCCTGCGAGATTCAATTATGTCCTGGCTAGTGCAACATTGGAGAGGACATAAGAAGGAGCTCAAGACTGGGAAAATATCCAAGTAGCTCTATCTATCACTAAGCTGCAGACATGGACCCAACGCAGAATGCCAATCCATTCAATGACCCCTCTTCTCTCTCGCCAAATAATGAATAAACATGAGTGGCGGTGGCAGTGGGATGTAGGCCAGTCAGTGGTAGGGTCAATCAATCACCATTCCACAGCTGCTTAATATTTATGAATGTTCCGCAGTCACCTCGGTGGCACCGGGACCCGAGCCGGACACAGACGGGAGAAGCTTGAGCGGGTCAATAATCATGGAAAAACAAGAAGCACGCTCAGGTAAGAACAAGTACCACCGGCGTGGTGTTATTGTGTAGGCAGAGGGGCTGCCGAGGCATTTAAAATGATACCCTGAAGCACCGCGATCAATACGCCACATTGTCCTTGGAAACAAACATTGGGCCATCTCATTTGTGAACCCGCTCAAGCACATCATTAATCCAAGTGGGCTCCCCCAACCCCACCCCCACCTCCTCACACACACACACACGCACACGCACGCACGCACGCACGCACGCACGCACACACACACACACACACACACACACACACACACACACACACACACACACACACACACACACACACGTGCGTTTCACCTGAGTGTGTCAACGTGAAATGTCACTCACGGCAGTGCTTTGTGTCAGCAGGACAAGTGTGGGATTTGATGGGATTTGGGGAAAAAAAGGCTGCGGACATCTGCATAACAATGTCGGGTGTCTGGAATGTCGCCTCCCAGTGCCGCTCATTCATACGTAGCCCCCGAGAAGATTGGTGAATTATTAAACAGCTTGGTGAAGAAGTTTCTGATTTTGGATTGAATTAGTGCCAACTTATTAACTTCCTTATGGTCACCATGGGGGGATGGAGGAGGACAGTGACAAAGAAAGAGAAGCATCCTCAGTATTTCGGAGCGGCAAACTTTCCTACGATAATTTGAACACTTGTACAATGCAGTAGTAGTAGTAGTAGTAGTAGTACTGGTGGTAAGCGTAGTAATAGTCGTATTGTGGCAGTGTAGTCATTGTTACTGTCAGTAGTCGTCAAACAGTGCTTTTGATTAGTAGTCAGAGGAAGAGGAGGAGGAGTAGTAGAGTTGTGGTTAGCTGTCCTATAGTTAGTGTGGTCGTAGTTTTGCTGTCAAAAATGGTATCATGGTTTTTGTTAAGAGAAGTACTGTTGTAGTAGTAGACAAGTAGTAGTAGCAGTAGTAAAATAACAAGTATAGTTTTGTTGTCGTTAGTCACAGCGGCATACTTGTATGTATTAGGATTCCCATTGATCCTTGTAGTAGCTATCGTAGTCGTAGTTGTTGCTTTTGTTGTTGATAGTGTTGGTGTTCATAGCATTGTGGTTGCAGGAGTCAGAGTCGTCGTCACATTGTTGTACATAGCGTGTGAATTCACCGAGCTGAGATTTGCTGTTGCCTTGAGTCACCCTGAACACAAAACAAATATAAGAAGATGTAGACGAATGATGAAGTAATGCGAGGAGGTGGAAGTTGAAGAACAGGAGCGTGTTTGCCCAACTGGCAGCCGAGAGGGAGCTTAATATTGTGCACAAGATCCTCAAATCCCTCTCTAATGAAGCAAATCGCCAGGGAACTTCAGTCAATCAAAGTCATCATGTTGACTCATCGCTTTCTGCTACATCAGCACAAGTGGTCATCCACATAATTCACACAGAGGGCCAAAAAGGACAGGACAGGGGCGAAAGGATATTCCATCTCGGCCCGAATGTCATCCAGGCGATGGGAGAGTTCGATGGAGTCCTCCTCCTTGTTCTCATTGAACACCTTGAGCTGGATGTCCAGCTCTTCTGTTTCTTTGAGCTCCTGGAAACAGTTAGATAAATAGTCAGTGGTTTAAATGTTCACCTTTGTCCAAAAATGATAAATGTTAGGTCAGGTGTGTCCAAAATCGTTCCCCAAGGGCCACTGTCCTGCCTGTTTTCCATTTGTCCCTGCTGCAGCACACCTGATTCAAATAATGAGGATCGTTCTGCTGCTTCTTCAGAGCTTGCCGATGAACTGATCCTTGGAATCAGGTGTGTTGCAGAAGGGAGCGATGGAAAACAGGCAGGACAGCGCCCCGCGAGGACCGGAGCTGGACACGCCTGTGTTTGGTGGACCCCTCTGGACTCTATGCCGGCCATTTGTGTCCACATCGTTTCCCTTTTTATCTTTAATAATTTAAACTGTTTCCATTCAAATTTAATGAAATTTTGCAAGAGTAGGGATTTTTGTTTGATTCGTCATTTCCAAAGTCAGTGTTTTAAATATATCACTGACATCCTGTGTATGTCAAATTCTAACTTGTCTTTGTTAAATTGAAAGCCATGAAAACTCAAATGTTCATCCTTGTCAATTGCGGGTATTCAATTGAATCACAACATTTCGATAAAATCGGATTTCTGCGAGACTCATCACTTGAATTGTTATATTATTTTGCTTCAATTTGTCATGTCATTTCTCATTTGTTGGACAACAGGGGAATGTCTTGTAGTTTTTTGTAATGAACGGAACTCAACACTGAACGTTACTTTCTCCTGACTGTTGAAAGCAAATTAGCAATATTAGAAAAAAAAAAGGTACTGAGAATATTTTTTCAAACATAAATATTTTAGTTGTTTTTCAACCTTTGCTTTGTATGAGCAAAATGGAATCTGGGAAGTTAAAAGTGATAGTTTATATTAATGACATGAAGTGATGTTAATTAAAACATGGAAAGAAACAAAATAAACAAATATTACAATCTAAGTCTGTACGGGACTTGACTCGTGAAATGAAATATTCTGCATAGAGAGAAAATAAACTGCATTCTGACAAATCAAGAATACATTATTGAGGAATATACATTCAAAACCTTCCTGATAAATTGTTAGACTGCAACCCAACTCATCTCCTGAGCTTCTTCACAAGTCAAAAATTCCATCCGGGCTTGAATGTATGCAAAATAACCCAAAGCAATGCCGCCACGTGACATTTAGATAACTCACAGGCAGGATCTTTTTGAGGCCGCATCTTAGGAACTCATTCCTCAGATGTATCCGGAAGTCCAAGTCATCCGGGGAGGTAACCAGCGCGTTGATGAGCTGCATGCAAGCGACCTGGGAAAAACACATGAGCAGATTCGGACAAAATCAAGAAAACCATCCCGTTATTCTGGAACCGATATTTCCTCTGCGATGGATTTGGGGGGGTTCAAACCGCTCATGTTGTGGTTCTGTTTTAATACTGTTGTCAATGCCACAGGAAAAAGAAAAGAAGCGGTCGATAGAAAGTGAAAAGAGGAGAAGACAAGGCAAGGTGAGAAGTCTGGATGCGCATTATTGATGGATTTATTGGAAAGGAAAAAGTCTGCATGTGTTGAATGTGTGCGCGGTTACCGGTACTTGGAAATCGCTGATCAATTCTAATGAGCAGTAAAGGTATTTTAAGGGAGAAGACCGCGGATAAGACACTTTTCCTTGCACAGCCAATCAATAGTGGGCTGAAGAATTCCCATGGATGCTGCAAGTTGTCTTTGGAAAACCTTGACCTGAACGATTGGCTCGGATATGCTGCGAAGAAGTCAAAACAAATGCTCACGCTTAACTGATCATATTGTCCATCCGAACGACGTCGGTTGGCATTCAATGCGAAAGTTTTTTTTTTTCCTTCAAACAACCTAATTGTGCATTACTGGGCACATTCTGTTTTGACAGGTTGACATCAAGGATAATATCATCGTACTGTGCCCGAGCTAAATGTCGTTGAATAAGAATCGGAGGTATTCATTTAATGCACAGTAATATACATTTGTTCACCAACCCTTTAAAATTCTTCATTATTTTATTGGCAATGTTGAAATATTCTGATGGGAACCCCATTTCAATTAAGAGCGTTGACCACACACTACCATAAATAAAATGAACCGCTTCTTCCTCTTTACACGCAGAAATTTGACACTTTACCGAATCCACTAGCGAGAGAGCACATGAAAGAACCTCAAGCCCAAAAGCTTCACAGACTTCATGTGAATGGAGAAAGCCACGAAGCTCATGAAAAATTCTGTTTCTTCACCCGTCTATGCACCAAGCTTCAAACTTAACTCAGCCGCATGCGGCACCGTGCGGTTGGGGCGTTTTGATGGGGAAGATTTGCACCGCACAGATAAAGAATTAAAACACTGACTTTCCAAACACTACTATAGTGTTGCCTTTGTGATTTTGAAAGGGAACGTGGTGGGTGGCTGCCCACCCATCAAGTGTGAAATTAAACAACTAGTTTGAAGAAACCATTTGTCATTCTCTTTGCTCAAGCCATTCTGGGTTCCTTCATCCATAACTTGGCAGGTGAAGATCTGCCATTTCCAAGCGGTGCCCCGTCCAAGTTTGATTTTGTGTTGCTGGGTGACAAAGTCTGACTTTCTTTGCATTTTTCCTGCTTAGCCTTTCTCCTCAGATTTCGGGCTGTTTAAGAACAAGGGGCCACTGGGCTGGTCCAAGAGGCAGGTGAACAGCCATCTTTTGGTTGAGACACAATCACCCCCACGAAAAATGCAGAGCATCACAGGGCACTGTCATTCTTGATAGCCTTTGTGTAGTTGGAATGAAGAATGTCAGACCTTTTACTCAGACGTGGGGACTGTTTCGTTTTCAAAATTTTGAAATTCGGCAAAAAAGTCAATATGTCTCCTTCGAAATACAATTTTGCTGGCATACACTGAAAAAAAAGATCCTTCTGATTTATTCAATTCAAACATGTACAAAGGTTGCAAAAGATTAAAATGTGGTAAACCAATGTCATTTTCTCAAGTTTTTCTCAAAAATAAACAAATGATTAGTGTCAGTTTAATACTTTTTTTTTTTTTTTGTGCAACCAAAAATCACCATGTTTTTATTCAGTGTAGAGGTCCAAATTGGTTGGGGAGAGAATTCTATTTACTTTCCAGTGAATCATTTTCATTTATTTAACAATGAGTTTTTTGTCATTAATGTGAAACGTTTAAGTACAAAAGACCACTTTCATCGCAAAAAATATATGTCTCTTCTTTATTCACTGCCTCAGCAGTTTCCTGTAAGAATTCTGCTGCGCTGTCCTTGCTGTTAAAAGAAGTTATTCCATAAATAATTACCCACTTTAGGTATACAGAAACATGCATTCAGTGGTTCGTTTTTATGACTGTTTATCTTTTTTAATCTTTTTTTTCTTTTTTCTTTTGTTGGCTTTCACACCAAGGCCTTCTGAGACTTTGGGAAGGAAAAAAAATGGGAGAAGATAAAGGAAATATTCATAATATGTGACAGAAATGAGAAAAGTATAGAGAGAGGAGGTAAAGAAAAAAAATCGGAAGCACCTTGGAAAGAAAAAGGGGGAGCTCAAGGAAGTTATCGTTTTTAATTAAAGCTGCAGCAGCGACGAAGCTCTGGGCGTCATATTGAATATCACCCAGCAATCACATCTCATCGTGTGCCTGAGGTGATGTGGCCTTGACAAGTGGACGTGAAGACGTCACCGCTGTCATTTTTGTTTCTGCTCTTAAAAATGGTCGCCGTGACAAAATCAAGCTTGAGGGGCTGAAAACAAAATGGAACCAGCTTCCTGCTGCCTTTAAAAAAGTGCTACAAAAATCAAACATTGGAGGAAGTCCTGACCACTGATGACATGATGACTGAAATTCAAACAATGTATATACAAACAGCCATTGTGTAGCGATGCGACTTTCCTAATTCAAGTCTGCAAACCACATGAATCCGTTTCAATTAATATCCGCCCCAAGTTCCACGTGTTCCTCTCACCAAAGAATCACAGCTTGATTTTTGACAGAGAACTGAAATGAGCTGGGGGGGGGGGGGGGGTCCCCCCTTCTGATGTGTTCTGCCACGCCCAGAGGAGGTGTGCCACACACTTGCCGCTGCTATCTTTCTCACACGTGAGTAGCTATTCTTATGAAGATGTTCCGAATGAATGCAGGTGGTATCAAATAACTGTGTTGTACTAAAATTAATCCTTATCGAGGTCTATATTGTCGGAAACTTCACACCGCTGTCAAAGCTCAGCAGGGTCACGAGTTGTTATGTTGAATCAGTGTCATACAAATTTGCATTCCTTTGGTAGCTTCAATTGTAAAATGCCATAAACATATTCAGAAACTCACGTTCAAGTGCAGATCCATTTGCTCTTGTTGACCCTAACATTTAATTCCTCACAGTTTACGATGACCAAGAAATGATTGATTTGCCACTACAACAAAAATCTGATGATCTTTGTCAAGCACACACATATTCATGACACTAATAAATGAATGCGCAATCACATCGGATTAGGTCAGCTAGGAATAAACTATAGTTCTTGTGGTTTGAAATAAGAAATGGAGAAACGTGTATGACTGCAGCTATTTGGTAGTGTGTGTGTGTGTGTGTGTGTGTGTGTGTGTGTGTGTGTGTGTGTGTGTGTGTGTGTGTGTGTGTGTGTGTGTGTGTGTGTGCGCGTGTGTGTGTCCGTATAAGTTCATATACGGGAATCCTAACCTGAAGCTGTTGGGCATCGTGGTTCTCGAGTCCTTCCACAATTGGAGCAAATCTGTCTTTATTATTCCGCTCGGCAGCAATTGTCATGGCGGCCAGAATCTTATCCAGGCTGGAAGAAAAAAGACCACCGAGAGAAAGGCGGGTGGGTGTCAACAAACACTTTTATCACCTCACTGACAGGGCATCTCCTCACAATTTTCAGGTCGAACACTATTTATCTTATTTTGAGAGAACCCCCTTTTTAGTTAAAAGCAACTCTTGGGCTCACACTTTTGGTTCTAAACTCATTCTGCATTATCTCAATTTGTCCTTTTCATACTTTTTACACGGACAATTATCCATCCATTATCCGAACCGCTTCATCCTCACGTAATGCATGTGTGCTTGTGTTGAGTTGTGAGGGCAATTGCGTTGAAGAGGCTTTCTGAGCAGAGGAAAGGTACAACTGATTGCAGTGGACCAGCAGACTAATGTGCAAATGGACTTAATGAGAACCAGAGCAAATTAGAGAACTCGCAAGAGCTCAAGGCAGCTTGTCTCAACAGAAAGACGCCCGTTTTCGCCGTAAAACACAAAGGCACTACTGGAAGTGAATTCACCAAAAATCCACCAGGCTTTAATTGTCATGCTGAGATCATTAAAACGACCCCAAAGTAGCTGCTTTCTCAGCGAGGGTGACTGACAGCGTTACAAGTGTTGACTAAAGGTGACAAAGACATGAACAGAGAGGTTAGCGACGCACAAGCGGGCGTTCAGCGTAGCTTTAAAGTCACTTGAAAGGACGCTTCAAAAGAGGCGAGATAGATCTGCTTAAGTTGTCACGTTCTTTCTCTCGATGCTGTCAGCTAAACACGAGCCGCCGTCACTCCATTGGCTGGCAGCCGAGAGATGACTCAACTCGTGTCGCTGTCACAAGGTAGCTACCATCATGCCAAAGATGCCCCCCATGGTGAGCCTAACATATCCTCTTTGTGGTCCACAAGAGTAACACTGTATTTCCATCTAAATATACTGAACGCCATCTGCAACAGTGTCAAAGCAATAAGTCTGAATTCAAATCATCTTTTTCAAATTGACGGGCTGATAAAACTTTGCATAAAGTTATTATAGTTCACAAAAGCCAACCGATTAAATGAAATTAAAATTGAAAAAACATTTCAGTTAACAAATAAAAACCACTGTCCTTGATAATAAGTAAATAATTTAAAAAAAATTATTAGAACTATAGTTTATGTTTATAAAACTCCTTATAAAACTTATAAAAAAATGAAATTATAATTATTGTGAACATTTACTTTGTTTTCATCTTTGGCAATTCATTTTATACATAAGTTATTGGGCTTTACGTATTTTGGGTGGTGTTACTTTATGGACAGACAGAAGAAAGGTCTGACAGTCATTTTGGGAATTTGTGACCTTTTTTTTTTCTTGCACGCGAGAGATACAGTTTATCACATACACAAAAATGAATACATAACACAATAAAACTAAGAATAAAACTAATTAAAAACGAATCTAAAATAAAGCATTTTCAAATAAATAAAAACCTAAAATAGGCTAAACTAACACACCAATTCTAAAAACTAATTCAAACTATTTTTCCATCCATCCATTCTCTGATCCGCCTATCTTCACGTGGGTCACAGGCGTGCTGGAGCCTATCCCAGCTGTCTCCGGGCAGTAGGCGGGGACACCCTGAACTAGTTGCCAGCCAATCGCAGGGCACACATTAACAAACAACAACCATTCATACTCACAATCACACCTACGGATAATTTAGAGTGTTCATTCAGCCTGCCATAAATGTGGATGTGCTAACTAGGCGATCACCGTGCTGCCCAAATTAAAACTAACGAGTCAAAATTACATGAAAAATAACTACAATGACACTTGAGAAAATGGCAAGTGCCAATTAAAAAAAAAAAAAACAATCAAGAGAATGGTTTGACTTTGCACAAAAAATTGAATCATACAGACTCCAGTTGTTTTCCTTTGATGTCGGATCCAAAATCCCGAATCATTCAGGGACATTTTCACTCAACTTCTCTTCTCAACTACTCTGCTGCAAGACATCAGTGTGAAAAGTGTGAAGGCATGTAGCTTGTGTATGCGCTTTAGGACTCTTTGGAGGGTCAGAGATACACGGCACGACGCTGAACTGAATTTGTCAGTTTGCCGCGGGGTGTCATTGTTTTTCTGGTCGAGGAAAAAAAAATGCAATTTAAAAGACGCAACTCCATGGCAAACGACAATGAGTATATCAGCACAGTAAAGGCAGTCGGCTGCATCATTTGTCCAAAGTGAAGCAGCCGACTCAAATACATTGTGAGCCAATCTGCCAGTGTACTGCTGCAAAAACAGCGGGGTGGGCACGCAGTGGGAGACCACCGAGGCATTTGCAGGTGCTAAGGGCTTATCTGTTTGTTTATTTATTTATTTTAACAAGACTGTCCTTCAGTTTATTTTCCCGGGTACACTGCAGAGCATGTAAACACAGCAGAGACCACATATCTTCTTCATATTTGTTTGTCAAAGGAGACGACTTTCAAATGGAATTGTGCTCTTTCCTTATTGACAGTAATTTCCAGAGATGTGTCTCGCCAGGTACACACTAATCAACGTTCACAGTTGTTAGCATTTAACGACTGTGGGATCACACACACACCACGTGATTTTATCAAAGCAACCGAATGCCAAAGCAAACCCTTGCACGAGCAACAGTTAACAGTGTCAACAAACAAGGAGGATAAACAGTGTGCTGCTGCTGTATCTGTTCTGAGAAATCCACTAAAATGAAAAAAAAAAAAAACTTATCTCGGGTCAAGTCGGCAGAGGCGGTGTTGACAATGTGAAATTGATGTACAGTCGAGGTGACTGAATCAAATACATTTATTTTTTTGTTGTTATTTCCTTTGTTCCTCCCACTCTTGCAGTTGGATCAGCACAGGTATCCTGATGGCCACGTGAATTGTGTAGAAACAAACAAAAACAAAAAAAAAACCCAACAACTTTGTATCCCCCCATTGTTAGGTCACGTGACTCGTGGGTGCTGGGTCATATCAATCAGTATTCTTCCAAATTAACTTTTTATTTTGGCGCGAAAGTATGATGAGATTGACAGATTCATCGTCTGCGGTTATTGTTATCTGCCTCTAATGCTGAAACGTCAGTACAGCCGAAAGGTTATGGTTACAAACATTTTCCTGTTAGAACTCTTGAGAACAACAAGTATATCACATGTTTTGGGGACCCATTGTTGCTACGAAGAAAAAGGAACTGAACATGGTGAAACTGTCAAGGCTACAAACCCATCAACTGCTTTGGACAAAACAAAAGCCAGCAGGAGCGAAATCTAATTACATGGGTTTTCTTTTTTTGTTTGTTTGTTTTTTCGAAACGGTTGAAACTCTTTTGTGAGCCAAGGTTTTCTTTTGGTCAGATTGTAGGAAATGTCATCTGAAGAGAGAGGAGTGTTGTTCTAAGTAAAACATCATCCAACATCAACAACAAAACAGAGGCAATGCGTTGCGCCCCGAAGTTCACCGTAGTGCCAAACTCCGGAATGTTGTGTACAGTAGAAAAAGATACCGCATACTAAAAGCGGAGATGTCACTGTGAATGTGGCTTTCCGCTGGCTCTCGTTATGTCAAACTAACCCTTTCACAAAGACAACACCGGCCTCGAAATTCCACGATGTTCGCGATGACGAGAAACATCTCGTTATCGATAACTTGAGACAGGACGAGCGATCAGGTGATCGGCCTTACATGTTTTCCTCGCCGATGATACAAAAGGCCGACAGGATCTTGACAGTCTCAGTCATCATGCTGGTCTGTTTGGGGTCGATGGATCGCGCCAGTAACAACAGACTGCGCTCATCTCCCAGGATCCTTTGCAGCCCGTACTGTCAGATTGTGAAAGCAAGGAGAAGGATGAAGAGAAAAATATTCCAGTGGGTGCCAATTAAGCGGAGCTTTCATAGATGTCAAATTTTACTGGAGTAAAGCTTCCAGTATGTATGTCTGACCAGAATATATTTGTATTTGTCTCTTCAAATAACAACTAGGGAAATGGCGTTGGGCATTTATTTCTAGAAATGTATTCAACGTATGTCATAATTAGAGTGGAGACTTGAGTAAAATAATAACCTAACTACCACTAACCCAAAGGAAAGCGGATGATGAATGCATTCAATTGAGGGCAGAACCACAGGGACAAACACTTTTCTGGAACCTTTTTAGTCTTCTCACCACTAAAGGTTTGGGTAACCACTGGTGGGGACTGGGAGCAGGAACATCAATTGGTCACCGAGCCTTGAAATGTGTACCACTACATGAGAAATGAACAAGACCTTCCCAAAATGGATAATTCGTTGATCTAAGAACGAAATGGAAATGGTAAATGGTAAAATTAGCTCCTCCAAATTAGCCCATTCTCTCAACACAGCATCATCCGACAGTGGAATCCAGACCACTGAGTACAATTCAAAAGGAGGACTTTTTTTTAAAGCAAAATAAAGCTGTGCACTAGGCTTTTCTGCTTGACTGGTGAGAGTTGAGACAATTTTCTTGAGCATCAATTTCCTCCTCCAAAATGTAATGTAAATAAGATGACTCGCATCTTTTAAATTCAAACCGAATCTTACACAAGGACAAAAATGAATGGTGTGCTCCCTATATTATAAGATCGTCTTTCTTACAATGTTATTTCGAATGAATGAATGAAAAACATGTTGAGAATATGTTATTGATCCACACAAACCTTGTTATTCATGAAAGCCTTCAAGCACTGAATAAGTTTATGCTGATTCCGTTTATCAATGTTTTCTTGCCTGGAAAAAACAAAAACAAAAGAAAAACAAAAAACAAAGAGAAATTATTAAAAACGGTTTGATCCTCATCAAAATAAACCGATTTTGTAGTATACTCACTGTTTCTTGTCCAAGAGCTTCTCCAACGCATCCAGAAGAAGTCCAAGACCCTCATGACCAAAGTTATTAACCCAACTGTGAAGGAAGTAAAAGAACAGAAAATATCCAGTCAGTATTTTTGACACAGTCTTGGCATGAAAAGCTATTTTAATATAGAGAGTGGATAACATAATATATTAGCTTAACCCTTGAGAAAACAACTCACTCAAACAAATGTCACAGGTTCGAAACACTTGTATCAATGGACTCATGTTGTGGGTTTTAATTCCCGACACGACGCCAGCCGAGCAGCCCAGCCGTGGCCTCCCTGACACTGAATACAGTTCGAATTTAAACGGCACCCATTTGGGAGCAAATGAACACGCATCCATCTTCACTAGAGTTCCCATCACTGAGCTGTTTGTATCCAGCCACTCTCGCGGAGTGCCTCCGTGTCCCCGTGCCCAAAATTGAGCAATTCGAGAAAGATAACACTGTAATCGATAACGGATCGCGAGAGGTAATTGCCTATAAACCACAGCATATCGGGAGATGGCAAATGATCCAGTGCAGATGAGCCTGTTTGTCTAAGGAGGCGAGCGGGAGGAGGGATTGTGGTGGTGGGGGGGCGGGGGTTCGGCCGTGCGGTCACAGCCAGATGATGCCTTTGGCAACGCGTGTTTCCAGGACACCGCACTGTCAATAAACAACAAAATCGACGGAGCCATCTCCTGACGTTCATTTCAGATAATCGCTTGGAATAACAATTGTTTGGCCATTAAAGCCTTTTGGATTGAGTCGCCATGTCGAGGGAGGGCCTCGACTAAGTTGGGGATGCTGTTGCCTGAGGTGACTGGTTAACTTGCGCTGAGGTATTACTTTGAGCAGTGACTAAATTAGCACGGGCTATAATTTGACACAAAAATCTGCAAATTGCAGCAGGATTGCGTCAAAGAAACATGCATATTCTACAATTTAATCATGAAACAGCTTTGCCTTTTCTCACAGATTTAAATACAATGAAAGAACCAAAATGTAAGTCTCGTTTGGCTATTGCTTGTAATTCACTTGCAATTTCTTATGTAACTGCAAGTTCTCCATCCGTAGCTACTTTTGTGTCTGACTGTAATCTGCTTGTCCAGGTACATACTAGACTGCTTTTTAATTACACTTTCAATGCTTCCATCCGGCATCTGGCCATTAAAAAAAAAAAAAAAAAAAAAAGGGCAGCCCACAGTAACTCGG